TTGTTCATAGAGACTGTGAGGGCCTGATGATTGTTGCAAGAAATTTAGAAACATTCAGAGTTTATAATCTTGACTCAAAATAAGATAATCAAGAAATGAAGTGCCTGGTTCCATTAAGTAATAATATATAATATATTAATCTAATGCTCTTATATTACTCCAACATAGTTCGAAGCGACGTCAGTTATGTTTTACTATTTTCAGAATTAAGGTTTAAAATAATTCCAAAAAATCTAGAATTAGTATTTAAGCCAAGAAAAATACTCCAAAGCTTACAAAAATTTAGGAAAAATCCTACAGACATTTGAAACACGATGAACCAAAGTACAATATTTGAAGCTCATGATAAGATATTTTGAAGAAACGAAAAAATTACATTTTGCTCTAGGAAAAAGGAAAAAAAGTTCTAGAAAAGACCGAAAAATTTCCGAGACGCACTACATGGTACCTAAAGCGCATTTTGTAAACTTATCTCACAAACACCAAATACACCACATGCAAGCAACAAAACAAAACCGAATCACTTTTTATTCAAAAATAGAAAATCATTTTTAGACAAATCTAGAAAAAAATTATTAAAAAATATTAAAATTATTTTTTTGTGTTTTTTGTTCATATCCTAAAATTGAAATTTTGGGGTGTTACACCGTGGGATCCGCAAAGTGCGGGTGGGGCACCTGATTTAGGTCATCGTCTATGTAGTGGCCCCAAAACCAAGTCACCTCTAGAAACGTATTTGTAGAGGTGGCTACGCTCCCAGTCGCCTCTGCAGATGCCTCCATTGAGATGGCTATATTTCCTGCCATCTTTAGAAATCGATTTTTTCAGAGGTAGCTCTATTTTCGGTCACCTCTAGAAATCGACTTCCAGCCACCTTTAAAAAGAGTTGCATAGTAAAATTCAAAATTTTCGAACGATATTGAAATGGAGAAACGACCAAAAAAAGGAAAAGTTATACAACTTTATAGTTGACAACTTTTTCATTTGAAATCATCTATGCTTGAAAAAATACATTTGAATTTCTCATATATTTGAAATTCAAATTTTTTAAACGACCTCGGATAGATAAACGACCAACACAAAAGTTGTAGATCTTGAAAAGTTATGCAACTTTGTAGTTGACAAATTACGTTTGAATTCCTCGCATTTGAAATTCAAAATTTTCAAACGACCTCGGATGGAGAAAAGGACAAAACCAAATTTTGTAGATCTCAAACAGTTATAAAACTTTTGTAGTTAAGAACTTTTTCATTTGAGTTCATTTAGGGTTCCAAATATTTATTTTGAAAATTAGATGAAGATAAAATGAGGAGGATATCCCAAATGAACACAGTTTGTATTTCAAGATTTGTACTTTCTAAACGTCATGGCTCCTTTGGAAGACATAAGGACCCCCATCTTGCTAATATGTATTTTTTTTCTTATGCTGATCCCCTTGCCAGAAGAGGTGAATCTATATAGAAATCTAACTTCTAAAGAATGCCATTTTGTACCTTGAAGATGGACATCATATACATAGCCAAGATGCTTAACACTGAGTTTTATCGAAACTAGTTAGCCACCATAAGACAACCTTTCCAATTGCTCAGTTTTTTTGAGAGCATTCTTTGACATATTTCCAACCCTTGTTGGTGAGTTTGCTATGATTCATAGGAATGCCCAAGTATCTAAAAGGATATTGGCCCATGCCATAGCCAAAAACTATGAGTATTGTTACATTATAATTTTGGTCTCTCAATAGTAGAATAACTCACTTTTGTGAAATAAGTCCCGAGAGTTTGTCAAAAGCACACAAAATATTTTCATGTCTTTTGCTTATTGAGTGTTATGCTCCATAAAAAGTATTGTGTCATCAGCATAATGCAGGATTCAAATTAAAGGCCATCATCAATAAGATGTGGGATAAGACCTTGAATTTGACCATCATGTTTTGCCCTACTTATGAGTATGGCTAACATATCCACTACAAGGTTAAAAAGGATTGGTGATAAAGGATCATCCTGTCATAGATCTTTTTTCGTTTGAAAGTACATTGCCACAACATCATTTACCTTTGCTGCAACAATACCTACAAAAACAAATTGATGAATCCATTGGCACCACAAAAGTAAGAATCATTTCATTCTGCGTGTTTGCTAGAGAAAAGGCCATTTAACTTTAACATATGCCATTTCAAAATCAACCTTAAAAATCACCCCATTTAGCTTTTTTTCTATGTAACTCATGAATGGTCCTATGTAAAATTATGACTCCTTTAAGAATATATCTCCCAAGTAAGGAAGCTGTCTGTGAGGGTTGTATAACTTTCTGCGCTACCTTGTTGATTCCTTCTGTTGCTATCTTAGTAAATGTTTTGAAGCTCACATTTAGAAGGTAAATCAGTTTGTATTGTTGGATTGTAATAGCTTCTTGGCACTTTGTAAGCAAATTAATGATACCAAAATTGAGGCTGAAAAGTGATAATTCTCCTTTAAAAAAGTCATAGAACATAGCAGCATCACACCATCTAGTCTTTCTTTTTTTGGGGGGATCAAACCATCTAGTCCAGGAGCTCTGTTATGCTCCATTTGGAAAATAGGCTCCTTGACCTCATTTTCGATAAACATAGTTATTAAGATTTCATTCTCTATTTCTGAAACTTGTGGGATATCATCGACTCTGTTCTCCATCATTGCGAAATTGTGTTTTCCTTAGGTGGATCAAACAAAATCTGGTAATTTGAAGTAATGTGTTCTTTTAATTCATTTTCATCTTTTAATATTGCATTACTCCCTTCCAACTAGAATATACGTTTTTTTCCTTTGCTTGCCATTTGCAATAAGATGGAAATATTTTGTGTTTTTGTCACTTTCTAATAGTTTTTTCGTCTTTGAATGTTCGAACCAAGCAATTTCTTCTTCTCTCAATAAATGAGATATTCTATCTTTTAGACAGCGAAGAGTATCTTTCTCATTTGGAGAAAGAGTTGAAAGTTCTGCCTTTTTGTCTAAAAAGTCAATCATAGATTTAATTGCTTCTTTTTCTTTCCTATTTTGCCTCTATTAATAGAAGCCGGAGCTGATGAAGCAAAATAATTAAAGTGGCACTTCGATTCAGAGCTTTATTTCAGCATGAGAGAAGCCACAAAAGACTCATCAAATGGTTTGCGAGAGTGTTCACGATCCGACGTCAAAATGTGGTTATAGAGAAACGCTAGATTCGAAATTAAATGGGACACTCAAGACTTTGCCGAGTGCCCATCACACTTTCGCAAAATATTTTTTAAGCCATCACAAATTAAAAAAGCCACCACCGCCGGTCTCGATCGCCATCAGTCTCTTGGCGGCGCCCGCCGTCGTCGCCTCCGCCTCCCCGGCTTCACGGCCGCCGCCACGCCACAGCCACCACTGCCACCACCACCACGCCACCGCCGCCCACCACCACCATGCCACCACCCGTCAAGCCAGGGAAGAGAGGGAGAGGAGGGCGTGGCCGCCGGATCCGGGGAAGAGAGGGAGAGGAGGGGGCGGCCGGGCCGGATCCGCCGCCGTGGAAGAGAGGGAGAGGAGGGGGCGGCCGCGCCGTATCCGCCGCCGGGGAAGAGAGGGAGAGGAGGGGGAGGGGCGCCGGCGGTGGGAAGAGAGGGAGAGGAGGGGGCGGCCGCGCCGGATCCGCCGCCGGGGAAGAGAGAGGAGGGAGAGGGGCGCCGGCGGTGGGAAGAGAGGGAGAGGAGGGGGCGGCCGCGCCGATGCCGGATCCGGCCTCCCCGTGCGCCACCGTCGCCGGATCTGCCCGCGCCGGGGCCAAATCTGGTGGAGGTGGTGGAGGAGGGAGGGAGGTGCTCCGCCGTGCAGGGAGAGGCAGGGGAGCCGCCATGCCGAAGAGAAGGGAAGGGCGGGCGGGCAGCAGGCGAGGGGAGGAGGGGGGCAGGCGTAGCGTGGAGAAAGGATTCTGACGGCGTGGGGAGAAGGGGAGGGGGCCGTCCAAGGGAACATAGCGTCCGTGGGGGTTAAAAAAGATTTTTTTCGTTTGCCGAGTGTCCCAGATCTGGGCGCTCGGCAAAGTTTTTTTCCCATTTTTTTTTCTCCTTCTTTCCCAGAATTTTTTTTTCCTTTCCCGAGTGTCCTAGATCTAGACACTCGGCAAAGATTTTTTTTTATTTTTTTCTTCTCTTTCTTTCCCAGAAAAAATATTTTTTCCTTTGCCGAGTGTCAAAAAAAAAAACACTCGGCAAACCCCATCTTTGCCGAGTGTTTTTTTTACACTCGGCAAACCTCCTCTTTACCGAGTGTTTTTTTTGCTGAGTGTTTTTATTGCAACACTCGGCAAAGAACTTGTTTGCCGAGTGCCCGAGAGAATATACTCGGCAAACATAAAAACACTCGGCAAATTTGACGTTTTCCGGTAGTGTGGTTTCACTCACTAGTTTATTTCAACATGAGAGAGAAGAAAAGAGCACCGAGCTTGTCACGATCCGTAAATGCAACATAGAAAGTGAAGACTCAAATTAAATGGGATCAAGCTCGCATCACATCATTCTCCCCCATAAACGATTATACCAATTTGTCTTACCATCAGACGATCTTAGGGGTCGTAATTTCATCCACCAAGAAAAAGAAATTTCAAAGTCATTTTCCCAAGAAAGACAATAGGTGATTTCTGTAATTGAACAGATGCAGGGTAAAGTTTAGTAAATTCCAAAGAAAAATGTATTAAGAAATAAAAATTCCACAGCCATGGACCTGTGATGCATAGAAAATAACACTGCCCCTCACGCTTTGGAATTCTTTGGGATTATTCTTTGGGATGTACTGGAAGCTCCCACACAAGGTAGAGTCTAGAAAGGGGAACAATTTTTAGAAAAATGATAACTAGGTTAATTCTGATTGTACAACTTTCACATAGTGTCATGTGTAACAATCTGTTTTGGCAAACTCAGATGCTATGCCACCTGCCTTTTATTGTTACAGTCATAGTCTATGTTCACTATATATTTTTAGATAAGGGAACAAAGATGTTCACTATATATGAAAGAGAACCAAGTCAGGGTCTACTCCTCTTGGGATACTGACAGTCTGCTGACTAATATCTGGCAATGACAGTGCAATTTTCTCGGCATGCTCTAAGTAGCTCTCAAACTTGTCGTGACTAACCCCAGGTTTCGTCGTCAATTTATCTGAAACCTTTGGCTGGCCATTCTCAGACAAGAGATGAAGACCAGTGGCAAGAGCCAGCTCCTCCTTCAAGATATGGTACTTAATCGCCTGCTTCCGGAATGTCCAGTCGCCGGTAATCCAGTCAAATTTGTACAAAGGGAGGAACCTGTGGCCGTACAACGCGATGAACTCGATGGCGGCCAGGATGAAGTTGAACTCCTCCTTGGACAGGTAGTAAGCAAAACTCAACCTTGTCCATCCTGGCTTCAGTCCACTATAACCCTGAGAAAATGTGACAAATAACAGTAACATTATTAGTACAAACTTTGTCAGACTAAAGAGGATATATATACTATAACCATCCCACAATTTGATCATACATACCTCAAGAATCACAGACCGGATGCGAAGGGAAAGGTCGTTCTTAATGTTGAGCAATGTATGGCCATAGGGGCCTGCACAGGCACATCCACCCCTTGCTTGGATACCGAAAAGATCGTTAAGAAGCCTGGTGACAAAACGGCCATGGAGTGGGAGACGCTTGCAACCAGGCTCATCAGCAGCAGCAACAGCTTCAGACAAAGGATTATTGGTGACAGGAGGGTAGACGAGGAAGGAGAAGATGGGTAGGCGTTCTACGTCCGTGTTGCCAAGAACCCTTATGTTTGGGTTGCTGACGAGCCTTTTCATTGCCATCTCGGAGTAAACTTGCTCCCTGAGGCTCATCCTGTCATACCCAATGTACTCCTTCACCCAAAATGCAAGCGATGCACGGATCTTCTGGAGGATTGGTGGCGTGCCTGCGTCCGTCGCTCCTCGATATCGTCGTCGTAGTATCGTATCGTAGTACAATACAATCCTGCAATTGTTGGGGTGGCTGCTTAGTTCCTCACTTAGTACAACCGCCGAAGTTCCACCGTTCAAGCCGGTGATTGCTGTTAGTGTTCCACCCGTTGTTGGCCTGTGGCAACTCGCCGTCGCTATTCGGGGTGGCTGCCCCCGGGCCGTGTACCTCTATTCTAACTTTCCTTAATGAAGCACGTGTAACGCACGCTTTTGAATTTTTTTTTTATATTTTAGGAGATAAGTATCAATAGTTGTATGTAATAACACAGGTTGTACTATACTAGTTGCAGTATTCCGTTGCTGTTGCTGAGTGGTAGCTCACCTCCTCGTTGAAGCCATTGACGTAGGCCACGGTGCCACCGCCGCATGTGGAAGGAGGCTGAGCGTTGAGCCGGTACAGTGCTTTGTTCATCACTAGGATGCCTGGTGTGCCCGGTCCACCAACGAATTTGTGTGGGCTCAAGAAGACTGCGTCGTAGCCGTCGATTTCACCAGATTTCATGTCAATCTTCACGTATGGTGCACTGCACAAATTAAAGGAAAAACTAGCTTGTTAGAACTGATGATGCATGGATTTCTTTTATGTGCTCATTTTGAACCACAAACTGAACCGATGTGCCAAATTTCCAATATATGCATGTATGCCATCCCTAATACTATTTTCTGATCAAAATTCATTCTGCTGATAGTAGTTTACAGGTTGGATGGATTTCTAACAACGATGTTGACAACAAGAAATATATACTAGGATCAAGATCGGCAGTTCGATCGTGTCCTCTTATGTGTAGTCATATGTATTCTATACAAACAGCAGATGAAACTAGCTAGATAAGCACTGATACATGTCTGATGATCGAGTCAAATATATTCAAAGCTAGCGTGTGATGACATAAATGTTTACTCGTCAGCTAGCGTGTGTGTACAAATAGAAGAATTTTCCCAAGCGATGACTATGCAGTTTTCGTCATCCGTAAAACTCTGGCGCATATATATATAATTTTCCCATGTGACGTACACCAATTTTGAGCAAGTCAACAGCAAGAAAATTGAAGACTAAAATAAGTCTGCCGTATCCTAGAATGTCAAATCCATCGTTATCATGCATGTATAGTAGTATGTATATATCAAACGAAGATGAGAGCGACATTCCAATTCCATCGCTCTCATGATCAAAGTTAAGTACTCCTATGCATTTGTTTAATCTGACTGTCGATCGTCTCTGAGTTCAGATTTCTCACCTGGCGGCGAAGTCCGAGCACCTTTTAACTAATATAATATTCGATAGAATTTTTTAGAGCAAGTATAATAGCATGCTGTATGTAGTCTGAACGCTGACGTGGAGGAGAGAGGAGAGAAGAAAGAGGAGAAGTGGGCTGTAAGCTTACAGCCAGCTTAGACAAAAGAATCGAGAAACTTTGTAAGAGTGACATATGGACCCCTGAAGAACTAACTACTTTATAGATGGGCTAAAAGGTAGGCTAAAAGGATCCTTACAACCAGCAGCTGGTTGTATTTTTAGCCTTGCTTTTATCCAGCTAACTATTAACAGATAATGAATCCAACATGGCCTAAATATCAAATCCATCGTATTTGTCATGCACTCATGCATCAGCATGTTGTGGTTTATATTAAACGAAGATGATGAGAGCGACATTCCATCGCTCTCACGATGAAAGTTAAGTATGCATTGGTTTCATTAATCTGACGGCCAGTGGTGTTTGACTTCAGACTTCTCACCTGGCGGCGAAGTCGAAGCACGCGAAGGCGCCATGCTCGTGCAGGACGCGCGCGATCTGCCGCGTGTCCGTCACGACGCCCGTGACGTTGCTGCAGGCGGAGAAGGAGCCCAGCATGGGCCGGTTCACGAACTCCGGCGACGCGAGCGCGCGGCGGAGCGCGGCCACGTCCACGAGCCCGTCGGCGTCGACGCCGATCTCGACTACCTCGGCGAGGCTCCGGCGCCACGACAGCAGGTTGGAGTGGTGCTCGTAGGGCCCCACGAAGACCACCCACTGCTCCTCGGCGCGCAGCTGCGCCGCGACGCGGGCGCGCAGCTTGACGGAGGGCACGGCGACGCCCATCACCTCCTGCAGCCGCTTGATGGCCGCCGTGGTTCCGGAGCCGCAGAAGAGCAGAGCGTCGCCGGGGCCGGCGCCCACGCGGCGCTTCACGTAGCGCGCCGCTTTGTGCACCAGCCGCGTCGTCTTGCTCCCGACGTGGCTGTCCTCCGTGTGCGTGTTACCGTAGAAGGGGAGGACCTCTTTGACGAGGTAGTCCTCGATGTACCGCAGGCTCCGGCCGGACGCCGTCTGGTCGGCGTACGTCAGCGCGCGGCGGCCGAACGGCGTGTCGAACTCGGCGTCCTTCCCGATGAGCTGCGACCGGAGCCACTCCACCTTCTCTTCCCCAGTGCCGCCGATGGCTGCCGCACCACTGGCGGCCTTTTCCTCCGACATGGTTGCACGGAGCAGGCTCATCAGGGCGGCCATGCTCTTGGTCTTGGCCTCCTCGGACTCTGTCGGTGCCACTGCTGCTTCTTCGTCGCCATGGGCGACGTGGCTACTTGCACAGATGGCATTGTCCTCCACTGAAAACGTACGTCGACGCTGGCAATGGCAGTGGTGGTGGATGAATTGGCAACGGCAGTGGCTGTGGCTTGTTACTTGTACACGTGTGTGTCTGCTTAGCTTTGTTGTGTGGCCTGAAGCTTTGCATGGAGGCAGGTATATATAGGGGGGAATTCTTCGTGTGCCATTAAAAAAGATCGTAATGTTCTGTGTGTCTCTGAAAAATTCAGCGGTCTTCAGCGTCACTGCTCCAACTTTTTTGTGCCTTGCATGCCACTGCCGTCAGTTTGGCCTCTAACGCCGACAAATTGTAGGTGTGAAAAGACGAAAATACCCTTAAGTCTAAATATGTCATTAATTTTTTTAAGCATCTTAACGACTTCAAATTAAAAAACTCAAAACTAGAAAGTTATAAATCTTGTCGAGATCTATAATTTTTATATAAAAATTATCTTCATTTAATTCTGCAAAAAAAATATGATTTGATATGATTAATATATCTTAGAAAAATCATATCTTTTTTTGCGGAATTAAATAAAGATAATTTTTATATAGATCTCGACGAGATCTACAACTTTTTAGTTTTGAGTTTTTTCATTTGAAGTCGTTAAGATGCTCAAAAAAAATTAATGACATATTTAGACTTAAGGGTATTTTCGTCTTTTCACACCTGCAGTTTGATGCCATTATAGCCCAAACTGACGGCAGTGGCATGGAGGGCACAAAAAGTTTGGAGCAATTGCGCTGAAGACCGCTGAACTTTTCTAGAGACATACATGACATTACGATCTTTTTTATAGCACACAAGGAATTTCCCCATTTGCATTGCACTGTGCGAGAGTTGAACAACGTCGTAAACAGGAGGAGGAAGAAGAAGACGGGAAGGAACAGGGAAGATCGAAGTGGGAGAAAAAAAAATTCTATGCAGCGGGTGGCAACAGACTAGTAGTTATGGGTCAAGGCGAATGCTTTGCTTCTGATGACCAAATGCTCGCCCGTTCTACTTCCTGCGCTGCGCGTTTCAATTCTGCGTGCATTCATTGTGTTGGCGGCAAATGCATGTGATATATTCAGATTGGAGTTGGCTGATCGAAACATCTGCATTTTTTGCCCCGTATCTTTTAAATGCATCGCATGAGCTAATTGATTTAATTACGTACGTGGGCTAGTATGCGTACCTTCGGCCGAGGTACTGTTTAGTGGGACTTGTTTCATTTATATTAAATAAGTTGTCATATACGTATTTTTTATGACATAACAATGTATTTAAAAAGAGAGAAGAAATAAATTTCATCTAGATGAAACTCTCTTGACACGATTACCAACTCTCTCTGAAGTTATGGAATATGCTTATGAAACTCTACAATAAAACTTTGCATCGAGGGATGATGTTTCATCAAGTTTCATTTCATTTTATATGACATGGCAGTCTTGAAAACAACACCATAAAACTATCCACTGAAATTGACCTAAATAGCATTCCTTGTGACCGCTATACCATTCACACGCTATGATATAGCGTACTAGCAGATTTAGGCCCTGTTTGGCATGACTCCACTCCTAAACTCTAGTAACTCCATCAAAAAATCCAGCCAAACACACCAACTCCAAAACTCCATGGAGCTATTAACTCCATGGAGCTGTAGTGCAAATAGAGGTGGAGTTTTGGAGCACCTCTTTTGCTGCTCCAGGACCCTCTGTTTTGAACCTCCTCGTAGAGTTGGTGGATAATTACCCACCAATGCTGGTTACACAAAAAACGTTTTGCTTCTATTCTCCGAGCCCCCCCCGCCGCATCTCATTTTCCCCGTCCCGCTCTTCCCTCCGTCCAGACTCTTCTCGCGAGAGACCGCCGCCGTTAGGGTTTCCGCCGCCACCAGGCAGACAGGCGGCTGCCGTCCACCCCCACCGCCAGTAACTCCAAGCCCCGCCGCCACTGGTCTCCTAGCCCCCCCATCCGCCTAGCTTTGCCTCCCGCCACGTCTGCACGAGGGACACCGCCTGCCGCAGAAGCCCCGACGCCGGCCGCAGAAGCCCCGACGCCGGAGATGCCCTGCCCGGTTGCCTAGCTCCGCCTCCTGCCACGTCTGCACGAGGCCCGCCGCCTGCCGCAGAAGCCCCGACGCCGGAGATCCCCCACCCGGCCGCCTAGCTCCGCCTCCCTCCACGTCTGCACGAGTCCCGCTGCCTGCCGCAGAAGCCCCGACGCCGGCCGCAGCCCCCCACTGACGGCCGCAGAGGCCCGCCAACAGCCGTCCGGAGATCCCCCGACGCCGTTCACAAGGTATGGTGCCTACTTTGTTTTTGGGTTGCATGCTCTGTTGTAGATCGATGCTCTGCAATTACATGAATTGGGCTGCATGCTCTGTTATAGATCGATGCATTATTGTAGCAACTGAAATGTGCACTAGCTTCTATAACCTGAAGTGTGCATTATTGTAGATCGATGCTCTGCAATTTCAGGCAACTGAAGTGTGAATTATTGTAGATCGATGCTCTACAATTACATGAATTGGGCTGCATGCTCTGTTATAGATCAATGCATCTATCAACCTGTTGTAGTTCTAGATTGCTGAAAATAGCCTGTTGGCGGTTCAGTATATTCCAGTTGAAATTGCTCAGCATAACGAGAACCTCATATACGAAATTTGTGAGTTCGATAGATGCCTAAAATTGATTGGAACTCGAAGAACACTCGAGTGTTGTGTATGTTGTTTGCCGAACAAGTTGGAAAAGGAAATCGGCCAAACACACACTTGAATGCACTTGGTTATACTGAGGTTGAGAAAGGATTCAAAGAAAAGACTGGAATTGTGGTTACCAAGGTTCAGATCAAGAACAAATGGGACAAGTTGAAGGAAGATTTCAAGGCATGGAAGAAACTAATGCTGATGCAAACAGGGACTGGATGGGATGCTATAAAGAAGACTATTGCTATGGATGATGAATGGTGGAAAAAAGCTAGCGCTGTAAGTTGGTTCAAAAATTTTGCTATATTTGTTTTCCATATGTCAAATCTGTTGGTAATACTTATAATAATATGTGTTGTTTTGCTTATTTCAGGACATTCCAGGTTGTGGAAAGTTCAAAAAGAAGGGCCTTGAGAATGAAGATGACTTAGCCAAGTGTTTTGCTGACATCACTACTATTGGTATTGATCATTGATCTCCTCATGTTGTGAATGTTGAAGCAACTGAAAATGTTGATGAGACAGAAGATGAGGCAACCAATTTTGAGCCACAAGATGATGATGTCATTCCTAAAACACAAGAGGAGGATATTGGTATTTCTCCTCCACCTGCAAGTAGCAAGAGATTGGCTAGGCCTGTTGAAAGAAATGGCAAGAAGGTGAAGTCTGGAAATGCACTCCTAATTCAAGAAGCAGTAAACAGTATGGCAAGTTCAGCCAATGAATATGTTTCGAAGAGACATGGAAAATACTCTATTGATGAAGTGATGGAGGTTGTGATTGCTTGTGGGGCCGGCTATGATAGCATTGAACATTACATTGCAACTGAACCGTTTGTGATTTTGATATGCGCTTCACGTATGTGGCTGCGGGTCAACCGGGTTCTTTGCATGACACTAGTGTCTTCCCACATCCTCCTCAAGGTAAATATTTTTGCTTACGTTCTTTTTCATACTTGTATGCACAAACTTATCTTATTTTACATATGTGTAGGCAAGTACTATGTTGTAGATGCGGGCTATCCTAATCATCCGGGGTACCTAGCTCCATACAAGGGAGAAAGATACCACTTACCCGAGTGGCATCGAGGTATGAAACCAAATACTCCAAAAGAGAAGTTCAACCGTATACACTCATCGATTCGTAATGTTATTGAGCGCTCATTTGGAGTATTAAAAATAAAATGGCAAATCCTTTACAAGATGCCCCGTTATTCAATTGTCACACAAAAGAAGATTGTTGTTGCTACCATGGTCCTACACAATTTCATACGTGAACATGCTAGTGTTGATGTGGACTTTGCTAATTTTGATAGAGATCCTACCTACATGCCTACTATTCCAGAAAGGTACAACAAGTATGCCGTATCTCAACATGCCTCCGATGGATCAACTTCGGAATCAAGCTTTGTGACTATGGACACCTTTCGTAATAATATGGCTACATCCATCGCCCTAGCATGGAATTAGTGAAATAATTATTGTAACGACCTTATTTTGGAACTATGAACTTATTTCGTAATTTGGGTTCTAGGCAAATGACATGTAATTTATTATTATTTTGGACTCCACTGTATGTACTTTTATTTCATATTTGTGAGAAGTAGTTCAAGTCGAACCAGGAGCAAGAATGGCAATCTATCCTCAAACTCATCTTTTCTGGAGCTGGGGACACCCTCCCAACCAAACACACCATCATTAGACAGCTCCAACTCCACCCAGGGCTAACTCCACCTAAAGTTCTGGTGTGGAGCAGCTTCACCTAGAATTGGAGTCATACCAAATAGGGTCTTAGCGAGTTGAAACTTAGCGGCTGATATTTGAGGTAGCAGACCACTCGGTCCACAATTCTTCGTAGCGCACGCAGTAGCGTGCTATGATATGCGCAGCAGATAACTCCAATCCATTTTAACTATCATGAGACTATTGAGGTTACTGTTTTTTATAGTGATAATGAATCATGAACTTATGACTATTTTATTGCTCTCTCATGAGCTATTTAATTTCTTGTATAATTGAATGTCTATTTATATTCATCGTTCATGAAATATATATACATAAATATTATAAACCGCTATATAAACCGTAATAGCACTCCGTATCCGGGGTCGGCTACGTCGACATTAAACAGCCAGTGTACGTACGTACGGCGCACAAACTCTCGGTGGGCTGCTTCACATTTGGTCGCACCTAAAACATCAGGAAACTCAGCGTACGGTCTCCACCGCGTTGGC